ATAAAACGTACATTGAAGGAGTCAGAGTCTGTGAGTCTGTGGCTCTGGTCTGCCTTGGAAAGACTCAGACTTCTGTCCCCCACACATCCCGGGGGACCCGCCTGAAGACTTCCAGGCATCTGGTGTCAATGCAGTTTGTTGATAAGGAGTAAGCAGCTGAGTGGCGGCACTTGGTGGTGGCAGCACCAGGGACAAAGGGCTGGCCCGCTCACAACCATGGGAGGAGGGGAGGAAGTGTCTGCCAGGCACGTGCAACACCAGGAAACTCATAAAATCTTTTCTGGCTGCGAACTGTATTGTGCTGGGGAATAGTTGCTGAGCTGGGGTCTGCCGGCCAGCAACCAAGAGCTGGGGCTATAAGGTCGCTCCTAGATGTGGAGCAAAGTTCTCCGAGCCTCGGGGGATCTGAACAGAACCTGCCTGGGAGGATCCAGTGCCCAGCCCAGCAGGAGGACTCTGTCCCTTTCTGTGTGCTGGGCACTCTGGAAACATTTTCCATCCTGCGTGGCCCTTTCATCTCCACGGGGGCATCTTCCTAAACAGGAAACAAGCGGCCTGTGGCGTTTAGAGCTGTTAGGTCCAGAGCAAAGTCCTTGAGGATTCAGACCCCACCCTGCCTGGCCCTGGCCTACAGAAGCTTCTCCAGCCTGGGAAGCAGGTGAATTCAGATTCCTTAGTAATCCGTGGCCCCTTCCACTGGGGGGTAATCCCCTTGGGCCTGGTGACTAGGGAAGAGACAGAGGTCTGAAAGGCTTGGAAAGCTCTGAGGGCAGGGAGAAAACTAATCGCATTGAGCCCATCTGCCGGTCAGAACAGATTGCTGTGCTAGTGTCTTAGCGCCACCCCCAGGGCTGTGACCTTCGCTATGGCACCCTCTGCTCTGAGGGAAGAAAAGAGCACTTGTATCCACTGAGTGTCTGTGAATGGTGTTGGCTTCGCTCAGCACAAGATTCAGGGAAAACTTCACAATTTTGCAAAAATATTTTTTCTTTCTTTTTAAATTGCACAAAGATACGATCATTGGAGAAAAAATTAGGGAATGCAGGTAATCGGAAATAATCAGAGAACAATTCAAATGGCCTAAAATTCAGCTATCAAGAGAGTACCATTCATCCTTTCAACAAATATTCATTGGGCAGTTACTCCGTACCAGGCAATGTGGGGAGCTGGGGACACAGCTGCAGGTGGGTCAGACGTGGTTCTTGTCCTCACAGGCTTCGACCTATTAATGACCTATAGGTCAGGTGCTAGCCATTAATATTAACAGTTGATATTAAGCGATCTGAGCGTGAAAAGTGCCTTGATGGGGCGCCTGGGTGGCTCAGATGGTTAGGCGTCTGCCTTCGGCTCAGGTCATGATCCCAGGGTCCTGGGATCGAGTCCCGCATCGGGCTCCCTGCTCCTTGGGAGCCTGCTTCTCCCTCTGCTTCTCTCTCTCTCTCTCTCTCTCTCCCTCTGTCTCTCATGAATAAATAAATAAAATCTTTAAAAAAAAAAAGTGGGGCACCTGGGTGGCTCAGTTGGTTAAGCGGCTGCCTTCGGCTCAGGTCATGATCCCAGGGTCCTGGGATCAAGCCCCGCGTCAGGCTCCCTGCTCAGCGGGGAGCCTGCTTCTCCCTCTCCCTCTGCCTGCCTCTCTGCCTACTTGTGCTCTCTCTCTCTGTCTGTCAAATAAATAAATAAAATCTTTAAAAAATAAATAAATAAATAAATAAATAAAAAGTGCCTTGATGACATCCAGTGGCCTCTGAACTCAGCGCCAGAGGACACGTGATTAAGGTGCGTGAGGGGATGAGCACGCCCAGCTGGAGGAGGGGTCCCCTGCTTAGGGAGGATGTGGGGGGCTGGCAAGGCCTTGTCAGCCAGGCCCCACCCCAGGATTTCCAGCCATACAAGAGGCTCTTCCCCTTTGGGCAGCATTGACCTTGGTGTTCCTGCCTGAGTTGGCCCTGCTCGCAAGACTAGGGAAAGGTGTGTGCCCTGAAGATGGCGCCACGCCAGGCTTCGGTCCTGACGGAGAGGGCTCTGGAGAGGGTCTGGGCTTGCTGTAAGCTGCGTAGGGGCCGCTCGGCGGCAGTCTCCACTCCTCTCTCTTCTGTACATTTCTACCTGCTCACTCCTGCCCGGCAAAGACCAGAGCTTCACGTCACACCATCTTTGCCCACTTAGTGGGTTCCTTATGGCTCGCTGAGAAGATCTCGGGGAAGGGCGCCTGGGTGGCTCAGTTGGTTAAGCAACTGCCTTCAGCTCGGGTCATGATCTCAGGGTCCTGGGATCGAGCCCCGCATCGGGCTCCCTGCTCCTTGGGAGCCTGCTTCTCCCTTTCCCACTCTCCCTGCTTGTGTTCCCTCTCTCGCTGTCTCTCTGTCAAATAAATAAATAAAATCTTTAAAAAAAAAAAAAAAGATCTCAGGGACATTTTTGGAGGCCTGCCTGGGGAATGCATTGCGTCCGCCGTAAGGCAGCCTGAAGTGGTTACTTCCTTCCGTCTCCTAAGAAGGTGAAAGTCTGATGGGAACTGGGTCACGAGCTCGCAGTTGTGCACAGGTGTGTGGATGCTTTGTCGTTCTTTCAGTCGGCACAGACAGACGCATGCTTTCTGGGCTCGGCTGGCCACCCTGTCTCTTCTGACATTCACTCAGCAGCATTCTGCCCCCCAGTGAGCTTGGGCTCCAAGGCCACAGGCAACCACGCCAAGGCCAGGCCTCAGGACTCACCATGTGATGTGCAGGTCAGGCGGGACGGGGACTGTGGTCGGGGAAGGCTTCCAAGAGGCAGGGACTTGGAGGGTGAAGGACAGGGAGAGTTTGGCGGAGTGAAGAGGGGAAGGGTGCCCCAGGCAGAGGGGTGTGTAGATGAAGGCTCGTGGGCGAGGGGGGCGCGGGGCCTTCAGAGAACTGCAGGGACGGTGGCCACAGCCAGGTGTGTGTGGTTTCCGCAGGGCCAGGTGCGTTAAGGCTGGGAGGCCCGTGGCCACCGCCGCACCTGCAGAGCCTCCCACCGTGGAGGCCGCCCCTGGAGCTCTCCACCATTGCTGACTGCCAGGGATTGCGGTGTAAACACCCCGTCGGTTCCCTTGACCCTCGAGTGGGATAATCGAGGCTCATGTTTAATTTGTGTTTGTATCTAGCTCTGTGCGGCTCTATTTCATGCTGTTTATTTCCAGGACCTTCCAGTATCTATTCGTTGTTCCTTCAGTGCCTTCTGAGCCGTGTGACTTGCCTGTTGGTGGAGTTTCACATCTTTTTCGCCACCGCCATTGATAGGAATGTATCACAGTTATTTCTTCCTGCCACACAAATCATGCCCACACTTGGTGATCTAAACAACAGTGATGTGGGTCGCATGGCTTTTCCTCTGCTGGTTTCACCTGCGCTCATTCATCCAGCTGCTGGAGGGATGGGGCTGGAAGGTCTGAGATGGTCTCGTTCACATGTCTGAGAGTTGGTGCTGGCTGTCACCTGGGTACCTCTGTCCTCCTTGTGGCCTCTCCACCACCAACAGGCTAGACCCGCTTCCTTACATGGCAGTCCCAGCATGGCACTGCAAGGGAGGAAGATGGAAGTCCATAATGTCACTCACACACACACACACACACCCAGTTTCGTTGACATGTAATTGACATACAACGTTTTATTAGTTTAGTATATGTGCCTCTGAAGGGAGCACATCATTGTATTAGTTTCAAGTATATATAAATCATTTGATACATGTACATATTGTGAAATGATCACCACAGTAAGTTTAGTTAACATCCATCACCTCACATAGTTACAACTTTTTTTCTGGTGATGAGAATTTTTTTTAAAAAAGATTTTATTTATTTGAGAGAACGTGTGCATGAGAGCACAGGCTGGGGGAGAGGCAGAAGAGAGGGAGAAGCAGACTCCCCGCTGAGCAGGGAGCCCGATGCAGGGCGCGATCCCAGGACCCTGGGATAATGACCTGAGCCGAAGTCAGACGCTTACCTGACTGAGCCACCGAGGCACCCCTGGAAGTTTTTACCTTTTGACCACCTTCACAGGTTTCCCCCCACCCCTGCCTCTGGTAACCACCAGTCTGTTCTTTGTGTCTATGTGTTTGGCTTTTTTAGATTCCACATACAAGTGAGATCATACAGTATTTGTCTTTCTCTTCCTGGTTTATTTCCCTTAGCATAATCCCCTCATGTTGTCGAAAATGGCAGGATTTCCTTCTTCGTACGGCTGAATATTATTGTATTGTATATAAATAACCACATTTTCTTTATCCATTCATAACCCAGCGGACACTTGGGTTATTTCCCTGTTGTGGCTATTGTAATTAATACTGCAGTGAACATAGGAGTACGGATAGCTTCAAGATAATGTTCTCTTTTTGCTTTTCCTCCCTTTCCTGTCTTCTCCCACGTCTCCCACTTACTGGTCTTTCCTAGGCTCACCTCCCAAGCAAACCGTTTCTGAGGGAATCCAAGCTAAAAACCTATTGCCGGGGTTTAAACCCAATGCTGAGGGCAGTGGGGAGCCATTGCGGGGGGGGGACAGGATCAAATTTGCAAGGTCATTCTGACTCTGGCTGTCTGACCCCTGACCAGTCCTGAGATTGAACTAGTGAGGGCCAGACGGGGGTGGAGAGAGGGCTCCCTTATTCCCCAGGCCCTCACTGCTGTGGCTAAGTGCCGTTGAGCGCCTCCTGTGTTCCATGTGCTGGCCTGAACATTTGGTGTGCGTGTTCTCATTGTCTCTGACAAACTTTATGAGGTTTAGGTTCCATTTTACAGAGGAGGGAACTGAGGCACAGAAAGGGTGAGACACCTGTGCACGATCACGCAGCTGGAAGCGATGGCTTGGGGGATCCAAGCTCTGGTGTGTCAGACCCAGAGTGTGTGCTGTTAGTCCCTTGGCAGTGGGGCCTTTTTGGCTTTCCTCCCTGCCCGCACTGTCCAGGCACTTTTAGATGGGCCTTTACCTCCTGGGTGAAGGCAAGGGCCGGTCGTCCAATAACCTCTGCTTCTCCTGCAGGTAAGTTCGAGGACAGGGAAGACCACGTCCCCAAGCTGGAGCAGATAAACAGTACGAGGATCCTGAGCGGCCAGAACTTCACTCTCACCAAGAAGGAGCTGCTCAACACAGAACTGCTGCTGCTGGAGGCCTTCAGCTGGAACCTCTGCCTGCCCACGCCCGCCCATTTTCTGGACTACTACCTCTTGGCCTCTGTCAGCCAGAAGGACCACCACTGCCACAGCTGGTCCACCGCCTGCCCCCGCAAGACCAAAGAGTGCCTCAAGGAGTATGCCCACTACTTCCTGGAGGTCACCCTGCAAGGTGGGGCCCGACAGCGGGACCTGTTACCCCTTCCCCACCCACACAGACACATGTCCGCCCACGGAATCCTTACTGACCGGGGCCTATCCACCCAGAGCACCCCCACTTCGCAGGGGATACACAAAGAAGGGGCAGCGATTCTCCCAGCGTGGTACCAATACTATGTAATGACAAATAGCAGCTTAGATCCTGGCAGCTGGCTCCCTACAAACTTACTGATCACCTGCTAATTTTCCTTACGGTAACCTGGAATGTTGCAAAGGATCTAATAGGATAGATTTGCAAGTAGGGCGCTCTGGAAGAGCTGACATCGTACAAATAGGGTGGGGGAGGGGTTATGTTTCAGTAATGAAGTTTAGCAATAAAGTTAGCCTGTTTGGGGACTTTGTTTGAATCCCACTCTTCCCATTGTCTTAAAATCCAGGTATTAGGTAGAATACCAGGTCAGAAATACTGTTGATACAACCACCCGATAACCCACCACAAACCAAAATGGTCCTGAGTAACAAGATCAACAGTTATATCGAGCATTAATTGAGCATTTACCATGTACCAGGCACTTATTTTAGTGCTTTGAGTTATAAGATGTCATTGGAATTTCACAGTGACTCCACGTGAAAATCACTTCTGTTGTTCTTGTTTTACAAATCCGTTTCCTCAACGGATGCTCAAGAGGTGAGGTAACTCACCCAAGGTCATTGCTGAGATTTGAATCTGAGGAGCGTGGTTCTGTGCCCACGCTCATAACCATAATGCCACTCTGCTTGACCCCTCCTTTAACTGGCAGACGTTGAAGTCATCAGAAATGATAAGCAATGTAAGAACGATGATGCACTGATCACCAGTGTCATTCATGGAAATCCTGGGCATCTGAGGTTTGCCTTTGCGCATAAGTAGTGCTGGCTTCCCCACGGTGCCAGACATCTTAGTAGGACATTAAGATGCATTTCACACCGTATACATGTACCAAAACATCACATGTACACCTCAAATACATGTAGTTTTTTTTTGCCATTTGTATGTCAGTAAAGCTGGGGGGGGTGGTTCTTCAGTAAACCTAAGTCAAGTGCTAGTTTTAGTTAACGAGCATCAAATGCTTATGACCATTCACTCAGTCATTCAGCAGATTTTTGTTGAGTGCCTACTGTAGGCCAGGCTTTGTTACTATTAGCAAGTAGCCTGTAGTCCCGCCCGAAACAGAAGCTTCTGCAATGGTGTGTCACTCACCCCTCACAGCCCAAGAAAGGACACGTGTTTTGTGGTGCTCTTCGCAGCCGTTCAGTGAGCCCCTGGCAGCCCCCTGGAAGCTCTGGGCGAAATTTTGAAAATCATTCCTCTAGGCTGACACCGGAAATCCCAGACTGAGAGCCAAGGTGTTTAAGCTTCAGGAGCGGAACTTCACGCTGTTTGTAATTTTTCATCCTGTGTGTGTATGGCAGCCATGAACAGGCTTGAACCGAATCATTTGTCTGCCATTTCTCAGAAGGCACGAGGTAGGAGGAGCACTGGGACCCCAGAGCGAGGCTCTATGATGCTGACTTCTGTGATTCTCTTTCAGATCATATTTTCTACAAATTCCAGCCTTCTGTGGTTGCTGCAGCCTGCGTTGGGGCCTCCAGGATTTGCCTTCAGCTTTCTCCCTACTGGACCAGAGACCTACAGAGGATCTCAAATTACACCCTGGAACATCTCAGCACATGCATCGAAATCCTGCTGGTGTAAGTTCCACCCCTGATCTTTCCGTGTTTCCAGAATATTGAGGCACTTGCTCTTGAGACCCACCTCAGACAGTTTCTCAAAGTCAGAGGGTTGTGGTGGCTCCCCCAGGTAGTGTCTCCCGTAAAGTGGGCCATGGTGACTCCTGCTAGAATTGAGGTTTGCAGAGGTGGTCCTTCCTATTTTGGGTAGCTTTGGGTTTGCAATTTTAAGGTCAAGGGGTCGGGGAAAAGAGAGGCTATGTGCACACCCTTCTGAGTGTCTGGGCTGTTTGCTCTTATGACTGATACGTCATAAGACGTATCAGTCCATCTTATGGATGATTATGCTGAGTGATTACACTCATGATAAGCTGCTTTCTCAGATATGGCCACAAAGCTGACCTCTTAGCCAGCCAAGCCCAGAGTGGCTTAACATTAGAGGCCACAGCCTCCTTGCACGGGTCCCTGGGAATACTGGGGAGGACATGTTGAGTGTACCAGAGAAGATGCATAAGGGCAACATAGACCCAACACCATGAAACTGATATTAAAGGAGGAAGTGTTCAGTGGTGATGGCAGGGAGGAGACAGAGGACGGAGAACCCCAGGCTGGCTGCACCCCGTCCCTCTTCCACCCAACAGGTGGCAGCACCTGCTAGATGCTGGCCCTACTCACCACGGGCCGGACCCTGGAAAGCGGCCTCTCAGCCTCCTGATGTGGGGAAGCTTTGCTGATAGCTATCTGCCTCTGTCTCATTGCTCTGAACTGTCCACCCTGCTCCCTGGACCTTGTTTTAAAATCTTTGTTTGTTGAAGCTGCCCAAAGCCAGGGCATATGGTCTGGTGTGAATGCAGATAGGTGATCCCAGACGCTTAGCCACCAGCCCTGCCTCTTCACCAGGGTGGTGGCTCTGGGATGGCCACCTTCTCAGATCCACAGCCTCCCAGTGCTCCTGTCTTAACCTAAGTCTCTACCGGATTAATGGATTTATTTCAAAAAGCTTTATGGGAAGCTTTCTTTTTTTTTTTTTTAGATGGAAATAAACCTGTTGATTCCCTTTTCAGAAGGTGAAACTTAGGCCCCAGGGGCGGCTTGCTTGAGATCTATTTGGGGGTGCCTCAAAGGCAGGGGTTGTGCTCATCAAGTGTTGGGCCCCTATCTCCTGGAGCTTGCACTTGGCACCAGGAGCCAGGTGGTAACCCAGAAATTATCATCTGGGCGGTTGACTGCTGAGATGGGCAGTGTAGCAGCGTGGGGGACAGCGAGGCTAGTCTCAAGGGGCCAGAAGGGGTTTCCATAGGAAGCAGATCCAGGCTAAGGTCTGCGGTCTGAGTTTAGTCAGAAGAGAGCGTGGTGGTGGGGGGGGGGCGCAGCACTACAGATAGCATGGGCTGGGCGCAGCCCTGGGGTCACAGCACACAGATCTCAGATCCCACTTGGCATACTCAGGGGTCTGCTGCTGTGGCCTTTGACCTCAAGTCTCACCCAGGTCCTTTCCTTTCAGAGCTTATGACAACGTCTTCAAAGACGCTGTCATGGTCAAGAGCCAGACCTTGGCAATGGTGCCCGGCACAACCCCCGCCCCCACCCAAGTGCTCTTCCAGCCGCCCGCCTTCCCCACCCTCAGCCAGCCGGCGACGCCGGGCCTGGCCCAGTTCCAGACCCCCGTGCAGGACCTCTGCTTGGCCTATCGAGACTCGCTGCAGGCCCACCGCTCTGGGAGCCTGCTCTCAGGGGGCTCTGGCTCATCCCTCCACACCCTGTACCCCACCCTCCAGCCCCTGGATGTGTGCCCCCTGTCCCTCCCTGCACCCCTCAGCATGCAGATGGCCATCACAGCCGAGCCCAGACACTGCCTCGCCACCACCTACGGAAGCAGCTACTTCAGCGGAAGCCATGCGTTCCCCACGGGCTGTTTCGACAGATAGAGCACCTCCGGGCCACAGAGGGAGGCCTTGGAAACCCACCTGGGCAGGGGAAGAGGACACAGATGAGGGGGGCTCAGCCGAGTGAGGCAGTGGGGAGGCCGTCCCCACAGAGCCTCGTTGGCTTTGAACACAGAGGGTTCATATTCTTTTTAAACAAAGCCGACCCAGAGCAAAGCGGTCAATGACATCCCTCCCCCGAGAGAATTTCTCTGGAAAACGTCTTCCACATGTGCAGCTGGGGTGCAGGGGGACGGCTCGGCCACCATCCTCCAGAGGAGGGACCTGGTGGATTGAGAAAGACCTGGTGAGAGGCCAGGAGACCGGACACAGGATGCAGGCCACCAGTCCGCGAGCACGTCTGGCGTCTAGCATCAAAGACTTCTTTATTCCTTGCCAGTGGCAGCTACACTGAACAAGAAGGGACTGCCTGATGTCTTCTCAGGACCCCCAGCAGAGGCCAGCTTGGGTGCTCCTTCCCTGGCTCCGTACCGAGGAGCCTGCGTGTGTTTAAGCCTGAGTGTCGCCTTCCGGGGCACGGTGGGTGGCTGTCTTGCCTTTGTTGTCCAACCTAAAACCTTATTTGGCCTTTTAGATATTTCACATGCTGCTGCTTCCCGAAGTGACCTAGCTTTCTGTTTAGTAACATATCTTGTTTACATACTGTATCAGGGATTTTGTGATACTTGAAAATTCCTTAGGAGAAAAAAAAGGTTGATTGCCATCCCACGCAAGGGCTGTCGGTTCGAACCCAGCTTGTAACAGCAGAGCTCCGTTTTCAAAAGCGTACGGTTGGGGAGAGCCACTTTCCAGGCTCTTGGTTCCGGAAGATTCCACGTCTTGGATGCTGGGTTCACCTGTAGAACTTCAGCAACCACCCAGAGGAAAAGGTGGTTGAAGGGTAGACAAAGGTTTACAACTAACAACCCCCACCTCCCTCCACCATGGGCTTAGGGTGCGTGAGGTTAAACCCAGCCTTGGCTTTGAGTTTGGCTCACAGGGAAGGCTAAACTTGTGGAATATTGGCTTCATGCCGGCTGGATTTGGGGAGTGGGGCACGTACGTGGGTATATGTCACAACCACTGACAGGCAAGCGGTGGGTTAGATCGAAAGCCAATATTTGGGACCCTGCAGTGACTGGGCTCTCAGGAAGACTCTTGTAACCATGTGCAATATGTTTTTATTCTGACTCGTAGCTTGTGCTCATTGTATTTTTTTTTTTTTTTTGGTTCGGGGTCAGGGGGACACATTGTTCACCCATCAGAACTGGGAGGTGCAAAGAACCACAGAAGCATTTTTTGTTTGTTTGTTTGTTTGTTTGAAAAAGAACCCATCTTGGTTTTCTTGGCTTACGTGCCAGTCCAGAAGACTGGCTCGGGGACTGGCAGGGAGGCGGCTGCGTGCTGCTCAGTTGGATCCGAAGGTGATTTTCAGAGTGAATGGAAGCTTCGGCATAGAAGCAGAAGAGGAGGTGACGGGGATAAGGCGCTGCTGCCACTTTGTCCCACGAGTGTGGAAAAACTACATGTTCGTTTGTTGCTTTTCTTTTTTTCCTTTGCCAACCTCCTTCTATTTATGTGAGACTGGTTTGGATTCCAAGTTAATGTGTCTGTTCTGGGACTGGGGCTTGTGAGGGGCCCCCCAGTAGAGCCTCACAGCCAGCCCAGCACCCAGAAAAAGACATCCTGCAATAAACATAACATATCACCTGCTCTCGCTCTCTGTTCCCTTCCTGCCCTTGTCCTCTCAGCCAGCCCCGGGGGTGTTTCCGCTCCTGCCGGGAGGTTGCGGTGGCGGGGGGGGGGGGGCAACACAAGACTGGCCCCCGTGGAGCTGGGTGCTGCCCCCCGAGTTGGCGCCGGGCCTCCCTGGGGACACCCATGCCAGGAGTAAGGCTCAACATCCAGCTCTTGGTACCCACTATTGGCCAAGGTTCTCTCTCCACAGAAACAGCACCCATTATATACGTAGCCAGAGAGATTTATTGTAAGGAATTGGCTCACACAGTTGGGGCTGACAGGTCAGGAATTTGGAGGGCAGGCCAGCAGGCTGGAAATGCAGGTAAGAGTTGATGTTTCAATGGAGTCCAGAATCTCTGGGCAAGCCAGAAACTCAGGACTTCTGTGACAGTCTTTGGGGAGAATTCCTTCTCCAGGGAAAGTGTTTTTGCTCTTAGAGCCCTCACCTGACTGCATGAGGACCCCCCCCACATCCCCCCAACACACAGAGAGAGTAGTCTCCTGTACTTAAGGCTTACTGATCGTAAATGTTAATCGCATCTACAAAATGCCTTCATGGCAACATCTGGACTAGTGTTTGACTAAACCACTGTGCGCCACAGCCTCGCCAAGCTACCACATACGATTCACCACAACCACTTACTAGCTGTCAGGAGGCAGTTGACTCAACTGCTCTGGGCCTCAGTCTTCTCACCTGTTGAAATGGGGGTGATAACACTTGCCTCGTAGGGTTCTCAGGAGGATTAAGCGACATAATGCACGTCAAAACCAAACATAAATTCTCCTTCAGGATGCACCATTATTTTATGTACCAGTAAGAAGAATTAAAGAAAAACTTGCCAACTAAACCAGGGCACAGGGTTTAAGAGACTGCTGATTAAATATTGCATTCTTATTTCAGGAGGGTTAAAAAGTAAACATATGTGTACCATAGAATTGATGGAAGATGGTGTCAGCTATTACGGAAAGTGTCAGACTCTTTCTGAAAGGAAAAAGAGCCCCACCCTCCACTCTCTCAGGTTCCTGCAGGAGAACCATCCAGGGGACACGGTGTCAGTGTGGAGCTGAGTGGTTCTCTCGAAACACGGATGCCTTTAGTGAGGACGGGGAGGTGTGGGGAGAAACACGTTCAGGGCGTGAAGCTGAGGTCCGGGCCCCGGAGCTGGGGCAGTACTCCCCATCTGCCGTGTGCAGGCAAGGCAGGAGAAGGCTCTAGATTGGGGGGATTTGATGGTAAGGCAAGTCGTGGATTTACCAAGAACACCCACTTCACTATCCCTCCGTCTTTAGGCCTCGGTTTCTCCACCTGTTAACGTAGAGATGGTTGAGTTGTGTGGTTTTGAGCTCAAGAGGGAAACAGCCACAGAGGCCCTAGGCTTCTGCCTTCCTTCAACCCGAGGGATCTGCTCGTACTTCTCCCACACATGGGTGTTCCGTCTTAGATTTTGTTTGTGCCCATGCTGGGCGGTAGTTTGGAAAGCTTGAAAAAGCACAGAGACAGCTTTAAAGGCCCCTCCGGGGCTGACAGCTATTTCAGTATGGAGATTTTCAAACCTGAGCAAGCTGCAAATGACCTGGAGTCTTCCCCGAGAGGAGTGGGGCCTGGGAGTCTGCATTTTTAGCTGGCTTCCGGGTGACTCAGATGCGTGTTTTTTTTGATGTTCCAGCAGAGGACTTCATGCAGGACCTGGTTTCCGGCCCGAAGGACAGAGTGAGGAAACCACATCCCAGTCTGAATTTCTGAACCACCTGAGTTCTAGACATAGACCTGACCTTGTTCCGAACTTAGCTGTTTTTATTTCTATGCAGTATTTCTTTAGCCAAGCCATGTGAAGGCTTGGGACGTGCAGATCCATTTTCCAAGGACAGCCTGCTTCCTCAGGTTTAACATCATAAGTGCCTAGATTAGGGTTGGGGTCAAGGTTCCACTTCCTCATGCCCTAGGGGTTCAAAGTCCACCCCTCCAGAGCCACCTGTTCTGTCACCTGCATGCTCGGCTCCCTTCAGCCTTTCTATCTGTGGTTCTCAACCGGGCTCATTCTTGCCCCCTAGAGGACATTTGGTAATGTCTGGAGACTTTTTTGTCTGTCACCACTGGGGTGGGGGGATGGCAGGCATATAGCGGGAAGAGGCCAGGGACGCTGCTGAACATCCTACAGCCTAGGACGACCCCCCAAAAAAGAACTGTCGAGCCCCAAATAGCAATAGCAAGATTAAGAAGCCTCAACACGTGTTAGCTCCCAAAGAGGTCTCTGTAAGAACCCTGGTCACTCATTACTCTTTATTTTCTTCATAGTTGTTAAAGCCATGTGAAATGATCTTGTTAGTTTGCTTGCTTGGTTTGATGTTTATGCCCTCAGCTATTTTGCCCCAGTAGAACATGAAGAATATTACCACTTGGTGAGGGTGGCATGAATCATAGCTGTGGGCATTTATTGAGCATTTACTGTTTACAAAGTGCTATGCTAAGGAATTTGCTCCTATTGTTGATAATCATCCTAGTAACCCTATAATGTAGGAACTATTATTAGCTTGTACAGACCAGAGAACAGGGGCATGGAGAGGTTATTTGCAGTGGGGGCCTCAAACCCCGGCAGTCTGAATCTGCCCCGCCGCTTTGTAGTACCTCAGTCAAGGGCTTTGAATGAGTAAAAGGCTCTGTGATGGCCCCAGCTGGCCACCTCGCTCACCTGGTGGGGAAGACATGACAGGATAATGGATACTTGTTCATAAAAGAAAAGGGTTGCCAGGCATTCGTGCCCCTGATTTACGGCGTGGCAGGCGTGCTCTCGGAGCGCACTCACCAACAGACAGAAATACAGGAACAGCTTCTTGCACATCTGCCCCAGGCTACCGTGGTTCACCGCTCCATCTGTCTGCCCCCAGCAGGCTCGGATGTGGGAGGGGTTCCCTGAACCCCATCTGTGAAGGTGGAGATCTGGGACCAGGCTTGGGGCTTCCCCAGAGCATCCCCTGGGAGGGACCCTGCCTCTGGGCTGGCTCTGGCAGTCCCTGGCCCCACGAGCCTAGGAAAGAATCTTACCAGCCCTCGTTCACCTCATTCTCTGTTCCTCAGGGAAGACCTTTGTGACTTGAATTTCAGCAGAAAGGCCATAGCATTTCGCAGGAGTCTCAAGTCCAGATGCCCACCAGGACCAGGCAGGTAATGTAGTGAACCCAGCTGGGTGACTGAGACAGCGTGATGTGGTGACTACTGCATTGAAACCAGTGTCTCCCTAGAGGATATGGCTTCTCTTCAGCTC